TAGTGCCAATCATTAAAGAAATGCAAGTTAAAACCACAATGAGATATCACCTCACACTGGTCAGAATGGCCATCATCAAAAAGTCTACAAACAGTAAACGCTGGAGAGGGTGTGGAGAAAAGGGAACCCTCCTGCACTGTTGGTGGGAATGTAAATTATTATTATTATTATTTCCTGCTTCTCACTCCACACAAATCCCTAAATTCCCAACAGAGGTACCATGAAATAAAAGCAAGAGATCAGATCTAGAGAGATAGGGGGGGCATGCTTGGAAAAGACCAAAAGGAGGTAAATAGGGGCGGGTCCTGAACCACCAGGGCAGCACGTGGTGCCCTCCCCAGAGAGTGAGATGGATTTTAGGGTCCCCCTTTCTCCCCTGCTCCCCTTGTCGATGCAACAGTGGCCTGGAAGGCCCAAGTACCACCGGTCTTCATGATGAGCTCTTTCTCCCCTCTGCCCAAAGCCACCGAGTAAAGAAAACAACTTGGTATTAGGAGTGGAGGGCAGGTGATGATGGGCTTCCCTGGGGACAGATGTTCAACACTGGGAAAGACAGCAGAGGAGTTGGGAATGTTGGCAATGAATAGTTGCTACTTTTCCATGTTTATGATGTTGAAGGATTCTGGCATCTTAATAAATTCCCCAAAACAAATTCCTAATGAAAGGCATAACAATATGTAAAGAAGAGAAAACGGTCTAGCAGAAAACGAAGAGAGTGATAAAACTAATATACGCCTCAAAATGGATATACAATGTCAAGGCTATTCCTTCTCACACCTTCCTGAATAGTTTTCATAAAACCACTATAAAAGGATTCTATATTTATTGGAGAGAAAACTGCATGGGTCTGCCCTGCTGTTCCTCAGGAGTTGACTGTATGTTCACCAGAGCAGTTGTTTCAAACTGTGCCTGGGCTCAAGTTCCAAATGACACACTGACTGCTCTCCTTACCCTCAGCGAGTGGCCTTGCCTCCTAGTCTACTGAGACGATCAAAAAGATCCGACACTGGATCCCTGTTTTCCTCCTTCACCCCAACATGCTGCTGCAACATCACTGCCCATATTCCCTTTCTACCATGGCAAAGTCATGACCTCTCTTCAGAGCCTCTCACCCACAACTCCAACTTTCCGGATGGAAACTCAGATTTAACGTGTCCAGACTGGTCCTCTCTCCCTCCAAACCAGAAGCTCCTCTTAGTTTTTCTTTGTCTGCTGAGAACACACCCATTCTTGCAATCACCATCCTTCTCCTGCCTTTCTCTCCGATTCAACCAGTGGTCAAATCCTGTTTACTCTACTTCAGCAATGTCTTTTGCATCTCTGTTCTCCTTTTCCCTTGAGGAAGAGAACTTCAATTCAACAATATTTATTGAGTGCCCACTATGTGACAGGCACTGTTCTAGATGGACAGAGATATAGCAATGAGCAAGCCTGAAGACCTCTCCTCCAAGGCATTACATTTTGGTGGCAGGTCAGTGTTCAAGTGCACACATACCTACAGAGATACATATTGACAAATGCCATAAAGAAAATCAAAGCACGACGCGGAATCCGGTGTGGTGGGAGGTGAGGGCATGATTACATCGGGTGGTCCGGAAAGCCCTCCTGATGTGCTGACATCCGAGCTGGGTCTGAAGGAAGGACAGGAGGGAGCCTTGCCCATACCTGAGAGAGTATACTACCAACACTGCAGGACCAGCTGGGAGTCCTGGGCCTGTGAAGGGAATAAAAGCTCAGGATCTCATCCTGGAGGAGGGGCCGGTGCTGTCAGACTCACGGAGGCAGTAGTTCAAGGTAAAGCCCTGGAACGGGCTCAGCTTTGCTCCCTCCGCCGGGTGCCACGCACTGTGTGTGCTCAGGAAGTATTTAACTGAAGGGGGGGGGGTGTCCAAGCATCAAGCACCGCTATTTATGCCACGTTGAGAAGTAATAGATAACACATAAAAATACGAATAAATATAGGATGTAAAAATGATCCTTAAGCTCGTAGCCCAGATATAATGAATTTTAAACTTTTAATACTAGTCCTTCTAGTCATTTATTATCTGTAGATCCTATTTCTTTTTGCATTTGAGACAACAGTATGTCCTGTTGTCTTCACTTAATGCTACTGCGATTTTTAATATCATCCACTAACTCACCGAAGATACTTAAGTGATACTTAAGTGTATCTCTAACCGGTTTCAGCAGCTTGGACAAAGTGGTCACAAAGCGACTGATTCTTTCTTAAGGGCCACAGGAGGTGCTCAGAAGCCAGTGAATCTTATGAGGAGGGGGATCTACGGGCCACCAAACCTGTAGACTGAGACAGAGTGACAGCATGGATGTCCTGGCTGCAGGATGCCCGCTGCTCTCTAATACAGGGAATGCCCCGGCTTCCCTGTGCAGAGGGTGTGGTCATCATTAGCGAGATGGTGCCTGTGACTTCTCCCCCTGTCCCTCTGGTCTTGAGGCATTGGAACATTTCCTAGAGGGTCATTTTGTTCTTCTTGGGTCTCTGTTTTACCTCTAGTAACTGCTCCCACCTGTTCCTAATGCTCTCGCTGGATAAATGATTCAGCTCAATTCAGTGTCTACAACTTGTGGCTTCCTAAAAGACCAGACCATTTTGTAACACAAGGAAGCATAGCTCAAACCAAGTCAAAACACCTAAGAGAAAATGTATTTATTTTCAATGTCCAGGATTATAAACTCTTCAGCTATTTAAATAAACATGTGCATGGGTTAAAAAAAAAAAATCAGAAAGGACTTAACAGAAATCAAGCCTAAGCTCTTCTCTGATGCAGCCTCCTATCCTTCCATCTGCTTTCAGGAGAGCTCTTTCTGGAAGAACTGTAGGACCTGTGCTGAGGTGTCCTCTTAGCCCCCGGAGAAATATAATGTGTGTGTTCATGGCCCAAAAGGAAGACACCATTAAGTTTGAGTAGAGTAAATGCAGATTTTTACAGGCGAATCAACATTGTTATAGCTTGAGGATGTTTTGGGCTGGTTGCTGAAGCCACTTTTTTGCTCATGAGCAACAAATTAATTTATTCAAGACTTGCATTACTAAAAGGAAAACAAAACTAAGGCAGGACAAAATTAATGAGAAATTTAAGAAAAGAAAATCACAGCCACCAACAAACAACCCTAAGTTTGGCTGAGATGATTAGAGCCAGATGGAGGGGGGAGCCCAGGTGACCCGATGGTTGGGACGTGTCTAAGGACAGAAGCGGCTATACATCAGCCAGCACAGTCCCAAACCTTCAAATCACTTGCAGTAGCAGAGAAGTATTTCCTGTCTTCCTCTTTCTCTTCCTCTTTCCTTTTTCGGCAATGGGGACGTTCAAGGTTGGAGCTCTTTTAAATGAGAAGGCACAGTGGGATGGAGCTGGGTACCAAAACTGAGGAGCGGGGTGGGTGGAGTAGAGCAAAGCATCTAGGACTTTAGTCATGATCACTCTCCCAAAATTCTGGATTTCAAAATAAGACTCCCTTCTCAGAGATAATAAAAGGTACATTTGGCTGCTCTAAGGCTGTCCTACAATCAATTCCTGGTGGGTTGTTAGACATTTTAAGCTTAACCAGACCTGTACAGATCCTCCGTCTAATTCTATCATGTGGCTTCTAATGCCTTCGTATGTAGCCTCTGGCAACAAAGCCATTTTCCAATTGCTAATATCCTCTCCCTTCAGCACTCATCCTGCCAGAATCATTTACAGCTCCATGTCTGAACCTCCCCAGAAAAGAGACTTTTTTCTCTTCAGCGAGATAGTTTCCGGAAAACAACCCTTTGCACGGGACAAATGAATATAGAAGTTCTGTTCATTACAATTAGCACAACAGTGAAGAAGTTCAGGGACCTCAGTGCTACATAAAGGAAAAGAATGTCGCAGAAGTTCTTTATGTAGTATTTTTAAATTAATGATTCTTATCACATTTGCGACTTCACCCATTTAGTGAAGAACACTAGTTTGTTCATCATATCAACGCTTTGTTAATGTTTCAATTCACTCCAGAAGCCCTTACGAGAAGCTTGCGTGAGCTCTATAAAGACAGGGACTTTGGTCTCTTGTGTTCAACCCCGTACTCATACAGCTTCTAATAGAGCAGCTGGCACTTCACAAGTGTTCATTAATATTTACTGTTGAATGAACCAAGGTATTTTCTAATGGGAAACTGAAAGTCTGGCCATCATTTGATTTGTGGTGTTTTGTGTGAAACAGAAGTGTTTATCTATCTTGGGGTTAAGAAGGGAAATTCTAGTTTCACTCTTAGGAAGCAACAAGGCTCTGAAAATAGATTTTTATCTAGCTTTCTTTAAAATTTCGATCTACCACTAGGTATTTAGAAAGTCAACCCTTTCTTCCATTACAAATAAAAATTCCATCTTCTGTCATAGCAGTGCTCCTTTGTCAGCTACAAGCTAAGCCCTGTCTGTAATAACAACATATTCCTCACCCTATGTTATGCCTAACAAGAGGATTCTAGGCTCGGGTAGAAGGGACAGACTTCAAATTACATATGCTAAGATGACATTTTCTCAATTCTCTTCGTCTCTGGGGAAACAAAACAAAACTAGAATGTACAGTCCCAAAATACTCCATGTTGTTTTATTTTTAATCTTTCTTAGCTATTTGATGCAGCGGTTGAGGATTTGAGAAAATACAGAATTTCCACCTCTTCTTTTCACTGTTAGAAGAAAGCTGATTTAATAGAACTCTAACAACTGTTGGCCAAATCCCAGATGAAGCTGTGCAGTGATTCTGAAGTGACTCTTTAAAAGTCTCTCTTATTTATAATGAAATTATAAACTAAAACCTAGACTGCTGTAGAATCTTTTCCCAGAAAGAAAAATCTGTTCCAAATGTGCTGACGGCTAAAGAGAAAACCAGTGGTGCTCCTGACAGGAAAACTGGGCTGGGATGAAAGAGGCAGAACTGAATCCTTTGACTGAAATTCAGATGGAGATCTAAGAGTTTTCTGGGTTTTCTTCGAATGTGAGCATAGGGAATACATACCAGCAAGAGGTAAAACCAATTCGTGTTGATGTCAGACCTGGTACTTCTAATAGCACCTTCCTCTGCTTCACAACTTGCATGTGGAATTCTCATGAAAAGAAAAGCACATGCATTAAGAGATCTCCAATGGGCCGTTGAGGATTTGCGGATGGAATTTCCATGTTCCTCCTGTTTTGATAGTTTTAAAACCAATTACCATGAAATGTGGATGTGATCCAGTTGTGGACTTAGCCTGTGGATGTGGCTATCGAGAAAATGAGCATATCAATGGACGATTTATCTTGGATAACTGCTGTTTAATCTATTAAATGTTCAGTATAAACTATTTTGTTAACTGTAGTAGAAGCGATCGTAAATCACTGTTATGTGTGATTATTACTGAAATATAAAAAATTAAAAATTTTCCTTTTCATGCATGCCTTATCATGTTTTTGGACTATTTGGAAATATAATTAATGCATATCTTCTCAGATTCAGCCTCATAAACAGGAAATGTGATTTAACAGCATTTAAGCTTCTGAGAGTTAAATGGACCTGGCTGTTTATTTCTCCCTGCATTAGCTGGGTTATTAGAAGTGTATTTTGTTAATCTGACTGACAATGAGGTTGACAGTATAACAGCATTACCACCAAAAGCAGCTTTGATTGTTGCCTTTAATTAGAATTTTCATACCATAGCAGCTTAGATTTGCCAGGGATTCGTGCTTTAAAGGGATTATGTTGAAGATTATGAAAGTAGAACCCTCGTGGAAGAAGCCTGGATATTCATCTTAGGAACTGCAGCCCCACATCCCTATTGGCCAAGTTGCTTGTGAATGTTTGAAGATTCCTGTCACACTATAAGTTGCTGTGAAAGTGTAGAGCAGCTAAAGAAAAATCCTCCCAAGGAAAAGGCTGATTGGGAGTTGGCATGGCAACTGTCCACAGGACCCAACCTTTCCCATTTTAGAAAATTCAAATAAATCTAAGAGCTGGAAGTAGAATGCCAGAATGATCTGAATACCTAAAAGATGAGAAGATAGCAGAAGTGCTGTTTAATTAAAGAAGATACAATCAGAAAACAGAGTAGAAGGATGGTGTTAGCAAAGAGCTAAAGAGGCCTTCATTCTTTCGTCTAGCGGAAGCAGAATATCAGATGGCTGAGATGGGGACTGAGGCAGCCTCGTGGGGACGAGGGCATTGTGCTGGGCTGGGCAGCCTTCCAGCCCCGAGGTGGACCAAGGGGACAGGCCGCACAGGTGGAATTAGAGCACTGCCCACAAATCAATTAAAATATTTTATAATTAAGGGAAAATGGTTTCTAAGGAGCACTGCCTCCAGGAAAGGGATTTGGAGTAAGACCAATAATAAAATTAACTGGACCTCGATCTGAGCCACAACGCTATGTGGCGGTGTTAGCTGTGTCATCAGCTTCTTTCTCAAGAGAAAACCTGAGCCCCATTCGCATGAAGGCATGTAGGGCTCTTCCCAGACTGCCAATCAGATGGCACATTCAGATGACATTAATCATAAGGGCAGAGGCACTACTAAAACTTCTCCCCACACCCCATTAACATATTCAAAATGTGATATAAGATCCAGCCTCAAGGTGCTTGAAATTCATTTGGAAGAGATAAGACTAGGATATATGTGGACAGTACCTTAGAATATTTATTAAGCAATAAATAGCTAGCTGCAGGTGGACACTCTCTAGATTCTACAGTCTAGTTGAATCTCATAACAGCCATTTAGATCCCTGCATAAGAACTTTAGCAGGTATCTACGTTCCAGATTGAGGAAGAGACAAACATTGCCAAATATATGCCTTGACGATACTTTCCTAAAATGGAAATGTCTTTATTGCCCTTACTGATTAAGAAAGAAGATTGAGAGCAACTTAAGTATCCATTATCTGGGTCTTCTTATATAAATATGATGCACTGTTTTTTCTTTTTTTAAGCTAGAGAATGAGGAAGCTGACTTTGTTCTGATACAGAAAGACCTCTGTAGCACTCGGTGTCCAAACAGGAGAGTAGAAACCACTATATATATTTCAAGCAGAGAAGGTTGCAGTGTAGGGAACTGGTTAAAAACTGCTGGAAGGGGTAGGAGCAGAGAAAGGAGGCAGCTGTAACCTAAAGCATGGGAAGCTGCCACTGTCCCTCGGCTGGATCCTATGAGTGGCTACTTACTGCCAGTGTTGCTGATACCACCCCCAGGCTTGTGGAGCTTGTAGCACAAGCAGTGAAGCCTAGCTGCACAATCCTGCTGCCGCCAGTAGCCGGGGAAATGATTAATCTCTTTCTCTCACACAGGGACCTACTACCTAGGCCTCCCACTGGAAGAACCTAACATGAAATTGGCCAGATGAGTGAGTCTGGAAAGGGGGATGGAGAGTATCTAGAAGGATGAATTCGGACCTAACAGCCAAGAGACACAATCCGGTATGTCCATTCTTTTGCTACTCAGGTCCACACATTCCATTGCATCCATCCAACGTCATACTTCCGCGTCATATAAATGAACGTAGGCTCGCTCTGTCCCCAAAAGGGGTAACACGGAGTGGCACTGCTAGAAGGAGGCAGCCTCAGCCACTGTACTGAGCTGTGGGTGATGTCAGTTCTTCTCTTTTAGTCACCATAGCACCTTGGATATTCCTTAACCTAAAGACTAAATTGTAAATGTAACCACCAACGACACTCAGTGTTATGCTTAACAAGCAAAGAAGAAAACGCAGAGTTGCACAAGTTCTTGTTTTGGTAACTGGTAACAAAACTAGTTGATTGATAATGATAATAGTTGAATAATAATCGTTAATGAGCTTCTTCCGGTGTCTAACCCATGTTCCATTTGCCTTTAACCAACACTTCAGTTGTTTGGGGTTCCTTCCTGGCAAGATGATCTAAACCTTCCTTTCTAAGGAGTGTGACTATTCCAATAACGTTTCTTTCCACAATGGAAAGAGTTCAATGTAATAAACTTGCTACTAGGTGGCTGGCTGGCCCCCCTGGGGAATGATGCTGCATCAGGGCTCAGCGTTAGTCTCTGCTGTCAGCAGCTTAGGCCTCCAGCAGTGACAACAGCCAGAGCAGCCTTGTGGAGGGGAAGTCCATATTGTTGAGCCCACACGTGACTTGGCTTCCTGCCACAATGGCCACATCCTACGTGAGCCTACTGAGCAAGCCTCAGGGTGGCTGGGAAAGGGGCTGCCTGACATCCACAAAATGGGCATCCCGTCCAATTGGTTCCTGAGAGCCTCATTCCGGATGCCCTACGGAGAGCATTCACATAGGAGGGTGCCCATATTTAGAGATTCATCTGCAAACGTCTTCCTCAGACTCGTGTGCCACCAGTATACCAAACCCCTAGTCACCCACGAATTGGCATATACCCCTACTCTGGCCATCTCTCCATCCAGACAAAGTGGACAACTGCTCAGGGTTCAGCCTTGAGAGAGCTTCTCTTACCGCATTCCTGCTTTGGGCCATGATGCTTCTACAGTCCACCTCTATCTGATGCCTTCAAATTGTAAGGGACCATCTGCGAACCTGGTCCAAACAGTTTCTTCCTCCACCATCTGTCAATCCCAAAAGGACAAAGGCGTGGGTTGAGGGAGACTTACAGTGCAGCAAGAGGAGATGCTATGGGAGTAGGAGCTGCCTGCTCACGGAGCTCGCCTGCACATTCAGGACCTGCTCGACTCCAGTCTGGTGTACACTACCTACACTGGACGACAATTGCTGCTGTGTACGCCAGCCGTATGGCTTGGTAGATCAGTGTATTGCTGCAAAACAAATTATCCCCAAACTTAGCAACAAGCATTCATTATCTCTCATGGTTTCTGAGAGTCAGGAATCCGGGAATAGCTTAGTTAGAAAGATCTGGCTCGGGGGTCTCTCACGAGGTTGCAGTTAAGCGTCAGCCAGTGCTTTACTCACCTCGAGGCTTACCTAGACATGCTGTAGGCCAGGGATTCTCAAGTGACAGCAGTTTTGCTCCCCCTAGGATATCTGGCGATGTCTGTAGAGATTTCTGGATGTCACAACCGGACGTAGAGGCCAGGGATGCTGCTAAACAACATCCTACAATTTGCAGATAGCCTCCCACATTGAAGAATTATTTGTCCCCGAAATGTCAACACTGCTGATGCTGAGAAACGCTGCTAGGGAGGCTTTTTTTGCTCTGGTCCCCACACAAAACTTGGCAGCTTTGTGGATTACTCAAATGTTGTTTTGAACAATACACTCAGAAAGAGGCTATGTTATCTCAAAAATCAAGAGATAGAGAACACTGTAGCTCTTTCTCAATGGTAGGTGATACAAAGTATAGCAATTTGCCCTTCTATTTGGAGAGGAAATGCCAACATTTCTCAGACCCCTGGACCCCTTAGAAACGTCACTGAGGTAGTAGGCCTTTGACTTTTCTTGGCATTTCTCTCCCACCCTCTGGCCTACATATGTCTTATTAAGGCATCGAGAGTATGTGCTGCTTCCTGCTCACCGTGTCAATAATGTAATATATTAGCATGGTGTTCTGGGGAATATCACGATGATCAAGGCCCCTGCAGACTAGATGTTGTCAGACAGCGGAAGGGTCACAGAGGTCTGAGGTAAGACAGGGAGGGTGTTTTGCTGATCCTGCTAATTGGGAGCAAACTCCATCTGGGGATCGTTGCTAATTTGGTGTTGAGGGAAAAAAGCAACTGCCAGATCAATGCTTGCCTTCAAAGTACCAGGAGCACTGCTGTGTTATCCAGTAAAGAGGCTACATCTGGTCCGGTACCTGAATGATTCTATAAGAATCCATAGTCATTCTCCGATAACCATCTTCCTTCTGTCATGTCAAACAGATAAGTTAAATGAGGATGTGGTGGAACAACCCCTGTCTTGTTCAAATATTAGATGGGAATACTAATCTCTGCAATTCTCCCAGGGGTGTGGTATTGCTTTTACTTTACTCTTAGGTAAGAAGAGGAAATTCCAGGTGGCTTCTGCATGGTCCTGCCTACCATAATAAGGCTCATCACCCAGGTCAGGGAATCAATACAGGGGTTCTTCTAGTTGCTGAGGACACCTAGTACAGCTCTATTCAGGGATGGGAAAATAACCATAGTGGGGGCGAGTAGACCCACTGTGAGGCAGCCACACCCCAAAATTTCATTTATTATTTGATCACCACACGAGACCCCTACCCCCAACCCCCTCCGTGGTCCAGAGGCATGTTGGAACTTTACAGATTAGCATCGACTCAGAACTAACGTCTAGAAATTTTCCAAAGGCCTGGACAGTCCCCCTTCCTCACTGCAGTTACCCTGGTTAATGGCTGCAGATCTTCCGGAGAAGACTTAAAGGAAGATTGACACTAGGTACTTACAGCAATGTTACAGGGTCCCTTCTAAGGCTTCCCAGCCTCTCCTTCTCTTAAGGTCAGAGTTCTCAGACCTTAGCATGCACAGGACTCAGCTGAAGTGCCTGCTAAAACAAAGACTGCTGGACCCTCCTCCAGAGTGTTTGCTTGCGTCCGTAGGGCTGGGGGAGGGTCTGGAAATTTGCATTTCTAACAAATTCCCAGGTGCTGTCGCTGTGGCTACTCCTTGGACCCAGCTGCAAAATCAGTGATCCGGGCATTTCTGTGTCTTTCAGCTGATTCAGATCTGAGACTTGGGTGATGAGCTATGACTCTACATTGAACTCAGGTTTCTAGTCACTGGATCTAGAGATTTCCCAGTTACATAAATCAAGTGATTCCTAGTAGAATTCCGATCTGTTTTGGTCCTGGGGCCACCATGAACAATGAACAAACATCAAAGATTCTCGTGTGCTGAAATACTCTGCTTTGCTGCTGCAGATACTCTGCCCATTATAGTAACTGCACCCACCTTGCTGCTGGCTGTTAAGGGCTGCCACTTGGCTCTGCCCCTCCAGAAGCCTGTCACTGATGGAAATCCGGAAGTCTATTTTAACGAAGGTGTCTTCTTTCATCGGTGGGTTTCTGAAGGATCCCCACATAAGAGAGTTACCTTAAAATATCTGCCGAGTCTGGAGAAGACTGACCACAATAATATCGATCAGGAAAGATCTTTTCCATTCTTCTTACCACTCTGTCTCCCCAGATCTCCATCCTGGAGAAGCCAGAAACTGTGGTTAGCATAATAGGGTAACAAGAGGAGAAGCCCTGCTTGGACAAAAAGAGAAAAAGCTGATCACCACCCCACCCCTACTGCAGGCTTAGAGGATGAGAAGGTTTATCTGCAAAGCAAGGTTTTAACTATTACATGGAATTTAATTACTAAAATGAGTGGGTTTTTGCAATTTAAAGTGACTGACTGCGGATACATTTGTATTACTGAAGAGTCACCGGACAACTCAGGGGTCTGCCTGAATTTTCATCTAGGTGATGGTAAAGAGATATCCCATGGAATGGATTATAGAAGATACTTGGAAATAAAAATAATGTTGCTTTGCAATTGAACCTTCTAAGACCTGCTTGTTCAATGTACCAGTTATGATGGCAAATGATGTGGAGACACATAGAGATGGTTATATCTCCATAGAGAAGGTAAGAGATAAGACGGCGTGCTCCCAGACACAGCCACAGCTTCCCAGGTCCCCAAAGGAGATAGGCAGCTGTGGATGGTACTGTCTTGAGCACTGAGGGTTCCACCGTAGCCTAGAAGTACACTCGTGGGCTTTTATTCCCTCCTGGCCCTGCCTCACATCTGTCTGTTCCCGAGACTCTGCTAACGTGCCTACACACTCATGGGGTGCAAAACAACCCCTGTGTTTCTGAGTGTTAACTAGGAGATTGGGTGAAATGAAATGCAATTTCACAGAGTATCACCCAGGAGGCTCAGACTTTAGATCTGCCTGCATTTCATTCCTGAATGTCCCAAAACCATTTCTTGGAAAGTATATCATTTCCCCCCTTTTCAGTAAATGCGAAAACAAGCATTTTAAATAAAGCATTTAAATACACAGATAAGTCCATTTCTGGATTCTGTTCTTTTCTTCCCTAAGATCCCTTAGCTTATGCTTGCACTGGCACCAGAAGAATAGCAAAAAGGCCAGTGGGACTAGAGCAGAGAGAGGAGCAGAGTAATAGGAGATGAGATCAGAGAGGAATGTTCTCAGGGGATGGGGGGAGAGTCACATTCTGCCTTTAAACTCTGTGAGCCATGGAAAGGTTCTGAGCAGGGGGTGATGTGATTTGATAGGTAATAACAAGATCACTCTGGCTGCTGTGTTGTGCTATGGAGAACAGATGGTGGGGGGGCGAGAATGGAAGCGGGAAGTTATTGAAATAATCCAGGTGAGAGATGACAGCTGCCTGGACCGGGGTGTTGCAGGTGGAAGTGCCAAGACGTGAACAGAATCTGGATATATTCTGAAGGTAGAGCCAACAAGGTTTCCTAGTGGGTTGGATGTGATGTGTGAACAAGTGGAAGAAAGAAGTTTTAGGGAAATACCACACTTGAGACATGTCTAACTTGAGATCCCTCTGATATGCAAGTAGAGATATCAAGTAGGTAGTTCAACACACAAGTTTGTGTTTAGAAGAGAGATCCAGGCCAGATCCAACCAGACAATTTGAGGTCTTTGAGACAGAAAAGGTATTTAATGCCATGTGGGTGGACTGGATTGCCAAAGGAGAGGCACAGACAGGGATGAGGTCCAAAGACTGGGACCTGGGGCACTCCAACATCAAGATGTCATGGAGGGACTTCCCTGGTGGCACAGTGGTTAAGAATCCGCCTGCCAGTGCAGGGGACACGGGTTCCATCCCTGGTCCGGGAAGATCCCACATGCTGCGGAGCAACTAAGCCCGTGCACCACAACTACTGAGCCCATGCACCTAGAGCCCTTGCTCCGCAACAAGAGAAGCCACCACAATGAGAAGTCTGCACACCACAACGAAGAGTAGCCCCCGCTCGCCACAACTAGAGAAAGCCCGCGCGCAGCAACGAAGACCCAATGCAGCCATAAATAAATAAACTTATTTTAAAAAAAGAAAAGACGTCATGGAGATGGGAAGAAACCAACAAAGGAAAGTGAGAAGGAGGAGTTTGTATGGTTGAAGGAGAGTGTGGCATCACTGAAGCCACGAGAAATGGTCCAAGAAAAACAGATGGATCAACCCTCTCAAAGGCTGCTCACAAGCAGAGCAAGATGAAGACTAAGAATTCACCACTACTGAAGCAATGGTCATTGGCAACTTGCCGGAAGCAGTTTTGGTAAAGTGGTGAGGCTGAAAGCCCTAACTGGAGAAGATTCAAGAAGACAGGGAAGGGCTTCCCTGGTAGTGCAGTGGTTGAGAGTCCACCTGCCGATGCAGGGGATGCGGGTTCGTGCCCCGGTCCGGGAAGATCCCACATGCCACGGAGCAGCTGGGCCCGTGAGCCACGACCGCTGAGTCTGCACGTCCGGAGCCTGTGCTCCGCAACGGGAGAGGCCACAACAGTGAGAGGCCCACGTACCACCAAAAAAAAAAAAAAAGAAGAAGACAGGGAAGAGAAGGATTAGAGACAGTAAGTGTAGACATCATTTTTCTAGTAGTTTTGCCACAAAAGGGAAGCAGACAAATGGGGCTGTAACGGACTGGGCAAGTGGGGTCAATAAATGTTTTTTTTCTTTTAAGATGCAAGAAACAACAGCATGTTCGTATTCCGACTGATCCAGTAGTGCGGGAGACACTGATGATATAAGAGAGTGAGGAATGAATTGCTAAAACGATGTATGGGCACCCATACAGGCAAACAGGCACCCTCAAACGCTTCTGGAGATACTGCATACTGGGTCAAGCGTTTTGAAGGGAAATATGGCATCATGTATCAAAATTATAGGTGCCCATATTCTTGGACACAGCAGTTTTATTTTCAAGATTCTATTCTGCAGATATTAGCATCTAGGTGCAAGGACACATTTTCACATTATTTATTAAACACTGTCTATAATCTCAAAAGCCCAGAAAAAAAACTTAAATGTATATGGATAGTGGATGGTTAAATCCATACCTGGAATACCATGCAGCATTGAAAATGAGCTTGATCTACATGTACTGTTCTGGGAAAACCTCCAAAATTACTTAAGTGAAAAACATCAGGGTACGGAAGAATACATGGTACCTGTGAAAAAAAGCAGAGAATAAGATGATGTGCAAAGGTAGAGTTATAAATTGATATAAAACACATGTTTGTATGTGCATGGAACACTTCTGAGAGATGTGGACCTACTTCCCACTGGATATCCTTTTCTAATGTTTCAATTGTTTGTAAGAAGTGTATTTATTATTTTTCATTAAAATTTAATAAAAATAGAAAAAAATCTTTGCTAAAAGGAAAAATGTAAATTAAAAATTTCTGTCTCTTACTTTATTAATGTAAAGGAGATTTTCTTATATAATGTTTAAGGGAGAAATGCCATTATCTTCTAGGTTGTTTTGGAAGGAATGGGGAAAAAAATCCTTTTAAATTGATTTTTACTGAAACAGCAAGGTCTTTACTCAATATTTGCAATACTGGGATATAAATTCTCATTATGTTTATCCAATATAAAAGATTTTTAGTTTCAAATATATTTTAAGTCAACTATAATTCAATCAATAAAAAAAGATTTTTAGTTTCAAAGTGTATTTCTGCTAGGCACACAATAGGCATCCCATAAAAACGTTTTGGGTTGAATCAGATCACTAATTAGATGAATGTCAACCATAAGCATTGGGAAATGGAATTTAAATACAAGACATTATTGAGGCTCCCTTCTTTTAAAGGTGAGTTTGTGGGACTTCCCTGGCGGTCCAGTGGTTAAGACTCCACGCTTCCACTGCAGGGGGCGCAGGTTCAATCCCTAGTCAGGGAACTAAGGTCCCGCAAGCCGTGGCACTGCCAAAAAAAATAATAATAAATATGTAAGGTTTTAAATAAATAAAGGTGAATTTGTAGGTGTGTATACATGTATGTGTACTTAACATAGATTAGCATTTTTTCTTTTTCTTTTTAGTTTATTGGATAGACCATAAGGGTGCTATGAACTAAACTAGAAAGTTATTTTGATATAATTTAGCAAACCAGTTAATTATATCATTAATAATGAGGAAGTTATCAATTACGAACAGAAAGGAAAATGAGGTGACCAATCGGCAGTAGCAGAAATTATCCTTGAGGTTGGAGTTTAAAAACACACTTATACTGAATTCAGAGGATATTTTAAGCACAAAGGTTCTCATATTAATAGTTCTTAAAAATAAAGAACTATCCATTAGATACTTCTGAAAAGGGAAAGTGGAAATTCATCATTTTTAGTGTGTCAGCCTGGAATCTCTTATTCTGTACTTTCATGAGCCACATTCATATTGAAGACCACATTGATGATCTTGATGGATGACAAGACCTTGAAGTGCCTTCTGAAACATCAGGTAAGACTGCATTCCTTTCTATATTTTTAGTATTAAGCATAATTATTGTAATCAAATCTTTTGAAACCTAGCACTCTATGCCACATAATAGCATCATATATAATAATCTTCTCATTTCCCAACCTTAAGGATATTTTAAGCATTAGGAATTCTCTGCTGTTTGTTTAAGCTTGCATGTTTTTTCTTCCCCTAGTTTACTGAATTATTTATTAGTTACACAGTATTCAGACTCCGTGCTAAATGCCACTTCTCTCTTTCAGTTGGAGTACAAGTACCTTATTCTGTTTCATTGTCAATTTTAAAGCTCACCTGAAGCTAAGGAAGTAATCATTCATTGTGATAGAAGTGCTGGGATGGTAGTATAAATATTTGCAAAAGCATTGGGATTTTGTTTTTAACATTGGGTCTATTTGCTGCTTTTTTGTTAATAGACAGTGATATACGGGCAATATATAAAAGCTTCGCACTAAGGTGCAATTATTTGTAGGCAAGATCTGCACCCTGCCAGGCTTCCAAGATGAAAAAAAGCTGAAATTTGGTTTGCTGACAAAATGTTCATCTATTTGGATTTAAACAGGAATTGACGGATGAAGCATTCTTATACTTATATGAGAGTCTATGCAAGATGCCGTAAACCAGCATTTTTCAGATTTTATGGTGCGAAGGAATCAGCTGGGGATTTTGTTACCGTACAAATTTGGGTTCACCAGTCTGGGATGGGACCAGAGATTCTGCATTTCTAACAAGCTGATGTTGTTGGTCCACAGACCTCACCTTGAACAGGAAGGTACAGAGTAGTCCTCAACCCTAGCTGCATGTTATGGGGGAATCTAAAAGAAATACAGATGTCCAGGTCCCACTTCAGATCAAGAGAATCAGGATCTCTGGGCATGAGATTCAAGCACTGCTAATTTTTTTTTTAATGTTCCCAAGTGCTGTGCACTGAATGTGGCCCCCCCAATTCATATGTTGAAGCTGTAAACCCCAATTTGATAGTATTTGGAGATGGGGACTTTGGGAGGTAATTGGGTTTGGATGAAGTGATGAGGTGGGGCCTTCATGGTGGCATTAGTGTCCTTATAAGAGGAGACACCAGAGAGCTTGCTCTCCCTCTCTGCCATGTGAGACACAGTGAGAAGGCAGCCATCTGAAAGCCAGGAAGAGAGGACACACCAGAACCTGACTATGCTGGCATTCTAATCTTGAACTTCCAGCCTCCAGAAATGTGAGAAAATAAATCCCTGTTGTTTATGCCACACAGCCCCTGGTATTTTGTTATGGCAGGCTGAGCTAAGACACCAGGTGATTCTAATAATATGCAGCCTAGGTTAACAACCATTGTTGTAAAGGGTATTGAGGTGGCATGATCCTAACTCTGTTTTAGGATACTTACAACCTACTCGGGGAGTTAAGACTTGGGCCTATAAAAGTAAAAGCTAGTCAAACGTAAGACTGGGTCAGAGAGGTAAAGAGTATTAAGAGATCCAGAACAAGAGAGGAGACAGGGTTGGGGTGATGAGGGAAGAAGGCTATGTCACTTCTTAAAGAGTCTTGCTGAGGACCAAATTTTTAAAAATTGAAGGCATAATTTACATGATACAATAAAACGACTACAAAGATATTAAGCATTCAGTTATGACTGTTGATCATTGTTTACACTCACGTAATCAACCTTAATCAAAATATAGAACACTGCCATCACCCCAGAAAGTTCCCTAGTATCTTGATCCTATCTAGCCAATTCCCAGCACTCACAGAGGCCACCACCATTCTGATTTCAATCAGTCACCATAAATTAGCATTATCTGTTTTAGAACTTCATATAAATGGAACCCACGGTCCTTTTTTGGTCTGGCTTCTTCTACTCAGCATAATTATTTTGGGATTTATCCACATTATTAACGTATCAATACAAGTCATTCCTTTTTATGGTTGAGTGACATTCTACAGACATACCACTATTTGTTAATCCATTTACTGTTGATGGACATTTGAGTCGTTTCCAGTTTAGATTTATTAGAAATAAGGCTACTCTGAATATTCTTCTTAAATTCTTTTTTCAAAACATGTTTTCATTTCTCTTGGGTAAATACCTAGAGGTGATATTTCTTGGCTATGGGATAGATGCATGTTTAACTTAATATAGAAATTGCCAAACGTCCCCTAGAATGATTGTATCATTTTATGCTCCCCCCAGCATTGTACAAGAGTTCTATAGATAGTTGCTACATGGTCTCACCTTAGTGTTAATATTTTTTTATTTTAAGGCTCCATTTTTTTTTTAATGCACTCATCTGTGTGATGACACCAAGACCTTCAAGAAGCAATTTAGCATAGTAGTTAAAAGTATTGAGTCCTTGAAGGATAATCTAGAAACACAAAGAGAATTACTGATATAATAACCCTTTGACCCAGCAATGCAATGTCTAGGAATCTATTACCTTTATATCTGCTCAAGTACAAGATAATAAATGTACACGTTTATTCACTGAAGCATTTTTTTGCAATAATATAAGGTTAGAAAGAATGCAAGAGTTCAACAACAGGCAACCGGTTGGATAAACTGCAGGACGTCACACAATGAAGTTCTAAAGAGAATGAGGAAGGCTTCTGTGTACTGATATAGAGAGATCTCCAAAATATACCATTAAGTGGAAGAAAAAAAGCAAGCGGTATATATACGGATTGGAGAGGGGTTAAAGTAAGGCTGTATATCTACACCACACACACAGACACACACAGACACACACACACACTTATATATGCCAAAAAACCCCACTACACTGGACATATAAATAAGAAACTAATAAAATATTGTTATGTAGGAGGGAAGGGATAAGGGGTAGAAATAAGAATTCTTTGGGAATATTTTTCCATATAATTTTGATATTGAATTACATAAATGCATTACCTGTTAAAAAATTACAACTAAAAAAAAAATCCTAGAATTGAAAAACCTAAACATACCAAATTGGTAACATGATCACACAGGAGGATTCTAGAAAGAAATACCCTGATGTTGTGAAAATCTGTGAGCTCATAATGATACTCGAAAAGAGGCAGAAAAATATTAGTTGTCATCATTGAGGTGGTTGTTAAATTCCTCCCTTTGAGAATTGATGAATAAAGGAAGAAGCAGTCCAAAATGCTTTCCCAATCCAAAATGTTTGTCAGGGTAACCAAACAGATCTAGTTGATTAGGGAAAGAGTCTCTTCACTAAGAAATGGCAGCTAATTAATGTAGAAAAAAATGATAGCATTAGAAAAATCACCATTTTGTGATTTCTCATGAACAGTCATTCAGGCAAGGGCTGTCCAATGGAGCTGGCCAGTAGGTGCGTAGTTGAGGGGAAACTGCACATCTGTATGGTATTAAAGTAAATCCACACAGGATACTTTCTGATTACAAGGGAATAACATCCCTCTAGAGCAGCAAGCTCGGGCTGCCATCCCATAACCAGAGGACAGTCTGAGTTTCGGTATCTAATGGTGGAAACCAGATGGCGTGTACCTCCTGATGGAGTGCCATATGATACACACAACAGCACCCAAAATGTATTCTAGACAAAATTTATTAACGTGAATTGACCAAGCTCTCTGATGTAACTTCCAATTTATAAGAAATACAGGGGACAGAGGAGCAAGCTAAGTGACCACATGAGGAAGCGATCAGACAAACATTGAGAAGGAAAATTAGTAGATGAAAAAACTGACTGTTTTAGATTAAAAATACCTAAGGGACATAAAACCATTAAAAATGCATGGCCCCCAAAAAAATGCATGGCCCAGACCTAAATCCTGATTTGGACAAACCAGCTTTGGGGGAATAGCTGGGGAACAATTAGGGTAATTTCAATATGATTGCAGTATTAGATGCTATGAAAATTTATTGACAGGGAAAGAGAAAGATTATTATTAAAGGAAAACAAACTCTTTACAGCATCATGATCTTGTTTTAGTTAAAAAAATACATATGTGTGTATAAAAAGATCTAGAAATATATATAATAAAATATCAACACTTAACAGTTTCTGGTTGGTGGGTGTATTAGTTTTCTATTGTTGCACACGAATTACCAAAAATTTGGTGGATTAAACTTCTTCTTACTAAGTTACAAGTCCAACATGGTCTCACTGAGCTAAATCAAGGTGTTGGCAGGGCTGCATTCCTTTTTGGAGGCTCTAGGGGAGAATCCATTTCCTTGCTTTTTCCAGGTTCTAGAGGATGCCCACATTCCCTGACTCATGGTCCTTCCTTCATCTTCAAAGCCAGCAACAGCAGGTCAAGTCCTTCTCGTATTGCATCGCCCTGAACTTCTCTTCTGCATCCCTCTTCCACTTTTAAGGACCTTCGTGATAATCGCGTTCCATGAAGGTAATCCAGGATACTCTCCCATCTCAAGGTCAGCTGATTAGCAACCTTAATTCCACCTGCAACCTTACTTCCCCTTTGCCATGTAACTTAACATGTTCACAAGTTCTGGGGATCAGGACATAGATATCTTTGAAGGGCCATTATCCAGCCTACCACAGTGGGAACATGATATATATTTATCTTCTTATTGTTGCCCTCTGTATTTTCTGGTTTTCTACAACGCATATATACTGCTTCTGTAATAACAAAAGGCTATTCTTCATTGAAAAATAAGTATAGTGATGGGGGAGGAAACAATATCATTAAGTGGTAGTATTTTGGAGATCATGGCTATATACCTATAGTAGGAATAAAGAAAACATGTGACCTAATTGTATGTGAATAAGTATTGGTGGCTTGGAAAATTTCCACTGACAGAATCATATTAAAAAATTCTATAGTTCAAACAACGTGTATGAAATGGCAGATGACATTCTGGAAAATGCTGTGTATCTGAAAAATGACTCTAGTGATGACAAGGACACTGTGATCAAAGATTCATGTGAAAAGTGTGAATGACAATTTTCATAAAATGTGAGTTCAAGTCTCAGCTCTATCACTTACTACCTGTGCGACCTTGTGCCAGTTATTTAACCTCTTCTTGCTTCCATTACATTGTCTATAAAATGAAGGTAATAACTGTACTTTCCTCATGGCGTTATTGAAGGATTAAATGATTTAAAGCCTGTGGAGGGCTTAGAACCGTGCCCGGCACATGACACTCTGTAAATGCTGGTCATTTTTGTTTATTTTTCTGGCAGGTGTTTGTAGCCACCTGTCTCGGATGGAAAATCACTCTGGATTAGTTAAACTGGTACTTATAATCTATCACCTCTAAAAATCATGAGAGTCATGCACTGATTATCAATAGCGTTCTTACACCCACAGGAGACTAGAGTAATTACCCTGAGGGTTTCACTATTGGGAGTTTTTCCCAAATGGCTGGGTTCCCAGGAAACACCCCACCAGTGCCAGTACAGTGGCTAAATAATTTTGAAGCATCAACAATTACTTAGCCCAGAATCATCAATACGACGAATGGCACTTACCACTATGGGACTCTAACACCTGTAACCTGTTAGAAAGAGAAGTCTAATAATTTGCTAGTTTGACAACTTGGGGGCAAAGAAAACAAATTTTCCAGGAGGATGAGAGACTGGAGACAACTTCAGTATATATCTTCCTGCTCATTGTGAATTGATATTAAACCAATTGGATACTGTGAGTTGTTGAGATCAGTCAAGCACAAATAAAACACCACATTTGAAGAACTTTATCATTAACAAACTCTAGTGATACTGAATAACGTTCCACGGAAGAAATGCAACAGATTCTTTAATGTTTAAAGCTGGAAGGGATCTTAGTGATCATTTTAATTCAGCGTGTCTCAGACTAGATTCATGGTCCTACCTGCCACCTCCCATTTCTTTTTTCTTTTTGTTTTCTGCAGGATTTTTTTTTTCCAAGCCTTGAACATGCTCTTGTACACTGTGACTCTCCAAGACCAAGACCCGGTATATGACCTACCCTGACCACAGAAGCTCCTCCTTTTTGCCCTTATAATTTTTTAACTTCACAAGGGCCGTTACTGGTGATAAGAACCCTCCGGGCAAACAACGAGGTATTATAGCCATTTCATAGAGCACGATGCCCAGAGCAGCCAAATGATTCACTTGGTGAACTAAATGATCACAGAGCTGGCTCAGAATCTAGGCCTGTTTGTAGAGCTCTCTGGAGAGAACCTGTGTGCTGAAGACTTTGTGCCCTGGGCCTGAGCAGCCTGGAGTAGAGCAAAGGAACAATGAAAAGATGGAAACAGAACCTACAAGGAAAGGGAGAAGAAACAGTCACCTGAGAATGTGCCTCCCTCCTCTTTGCCTTTCTGCTCAGCCTAACATTTATTAAAGACCTACAATTTAAGAAAGGTATTGTTGTGTGTTACAGAGGATGACAAAAAGCTGTGCATAAGACTTAAGGTCTTGCTCTGGAGGACCTCAGATTCTCATTGAGAAGGCACACAGGAAGTTGAAATGTTAGCAACAATCCTATTTTCCTAACACTTATAGTTTGTAAGAGCTTTCACATATATTTCCCAAAACTCATATATTGGGCAAGTATTATTTGTCCCTTTTTATACATGAGAAAATGAACCACTGATCAGAGAGAGTGTGACACGGTTCAAGGTCAGAGACCCAGCAAGTGGACTCCATCTTCTGATCACCCCTTCCATATCACATGGGCAGTTTATGACAAATGTTTGGCTTTTTGATGACAACTGCAAATGCTTTGGGGGTTTTTACACTGCATATAGTAAATTGTTTGACTGTATCCAAGATGATTTACGTTATTAAGACTGATTTTTTAAAAGGTTTATAAGAAAAGCAATTTGTAGCAAGGGAAGGAAGACATGGCAGGGCAATGGAGAAAGCAAAAGTGAATATGGTATCATGTACGTTTTTACCAAAGATTTTTAACTGCAAAAACAAATGTTCAGGGACTTTTCTGGTGGCACAGTGGTTAAGAATCCACATGCCAATGCAGGGAACACGGGTTCGAGCCCTGGTCCAGGAAGATCCCACGTACCACGCAGCAACTAAGCCCGTGCGCCACAACTACTGAGCCTGCGCTCTAGAGCCCGAGTGCCACAACTACTGAAGCCCGTGCACCTGGAGCCTGTGTGCTCTGCAACAAGAGAAGCCACCACAGTGAGAAGGCTGTGCACCGCAACGAAGAGTAGCCCCCGCTCGCTGCAACTAGAGAAAGCCCATGCGCAGCAATGAAGACCCAACGCAGCCAAAAAATAAATGAATAAATTTATTTAAAAAAAAATGTTCATCGCAGAAAAGTTTGATTGCAGAGAAAAGTAGAATGGAAAAAAAAATACTGTTCTCTCATCAACCAAAGCAAAGCAGGGTTCAGCCATCCCTCACTCCCCCGTTTTTAAAGTCATACACACTATAAAACTTGACAATTTACATTAAGCTTTTGAAAATTCTTTAGTTCTAAATATCTTTAAATGATAACAACGACTTTTTTTTCAACCTACAATGTATCATAGCAGACAATAAAAAAGCATTCAAGTTTGAGGTATACCAATTACATTTTGGAAATTAAATAGGGATGCATAGAAGCTGAAGGAGTGTCCTTACAGATACATTAGCATTCTACCGACAGTAATGTTTGATCCTGCCTACAGCAAGGCTCCAGTGCTGTGGCTGGAACCTTTGATCTTGAGTCCCACTCCAGCATATGGTGCTACTAAGCATAATCAAAGTGCAAATCTTTATAGAAATTACAGAGACTGAAAAAGGGACGGATGCTTCCTTCCTCTAATTTCCTTTCCTGCCATGTTCCTGGTCTTAAGTAAAAAGCATTTGGTCTTTTGATGAAATCTGCAAATAGTTTGAGGGTACTTTACACTGTATACAGTCAATTATTTCACTGTCCAAGATTATTTCCATTACTAAGATTGACAGTGTTTCCTGCCAGAACAGAGTCATGGTTTTTGTGCCCAATTACCACACAGGTATGAAACTGCCTCCACTATTTTGGCCCCATACAGTGATGTTAGAATAAGGAGACATCTACAGTTCTGGGGGAGGTTTCTTGGGTGGGGAGTACTTGCCGCTTGTACATTCCAGATTTTGATAAGAAATCACTGAACATTTACAGGATGAGTTGCTAATCCTTGAAGTTGATACTCTTCAAAAGAGGTGTCTTCCCTACAAATATTTTTAAGCCATTAGTTATAACAATTCGGATCAAGTTGTGAGAAAAATAGTATTTTTTTATGAAATTCCCTTCAAATATATCTGTCAGTCCACCAAGACAGTGGGAGACAATTTCTGAATTAAAATATTGAAAACAAAACTCATATTTTGTCAAAGTGGATCATCTGTGCCCTCTCACCAACACCCTGCTGTTAGGTTTGAGTGACTGCAACGCACCAGGCCTCAGGCAAGTTTGCAGTTTGGAAGAAACGTGGACCCAGGAAAACTTTGTGTGTTGTTTCTCATGGTTACTGATTATTGTCCCAAGCCTTACATAAATTGTTTTTAATAATGCACTTATTAAGAGAAAAAAGAGATGCCTAAAGCACCATTCAAAAAGTTTAGTCAGGGCTTCCCTGGTGGCGCAGTGGTTGAGAGTCTGCCTGCCGATGCAGGGAACAAGGGTTCGTTCCCCGGACCGGGAAGATCCCACATGCCGAGGAGCGGCTGGGCCCGTGAGCCATGGCCGCTGAGCCTGCATGTCCACAGCCTGTGCTCCGCAACAGGAGAGGCCCCAACAGTGAGAGGCCCGCGCACCGCAAATAAAATAAAATTAAATTAAAAAAAGTTTAGTCAAGTGCAGGCGAGTGCACCCTCAGCTGGTGGGCACTGGCCCGGCCTCTGTCTCTCCTGACCAGGCAGCGCCAAACCTGGTTGGCAAACCTTGTTGGCTGGTGCTCTTATTGGACCAGTTGCTAAATATTTTGACTATCACCCCGAACTGGCCTCATTAGTTGTACACATAGGCTTGTATCAACAGGGAGCCCAGCGAGGTCTAACTATAAAATCCTGGGGTCAGAAGTCAACAGTTTAGATTGTGGTCTGAACTCTATCATTACAGTGGTGGATCATTCCAGAAGTTAGCTAATTCCTTTAATTCTTAGCATCCTTGCCTCCAAATTGGGGATATGAATATCCCTCACCTAATTGCCTTATGAGACATGTTGAGGTGAAATCAGATATTAAATATGAAAGCACTTGTTTAAAAAATTTTTATTAATTTCAAAGAAATCCATAGTAATTGTATAGCATTTAGAAAATGCCAAAGCATAGGGTGTAAACAATTATTCATCTTCTCACCGTGTAAAGATAACAACTGTTAACATTTCAAAAATTTTCTTCTAGCTTTTTTTTTGTCAACTGTTAACATTTCAAAAATTTTCTTCTAGCTTCCACCTTGTAAATGGCCTTAGACACATACAATATTAAGTGGACTGATGCTTTCTACAAAGGTTTTAGTTCTTTATTATTTTCTTTCCAAAAGATAATTGCTATGAGCATAGCAAATGGTGCTCATCCTGTTTATGATGGCACCATGCTCCTGGATTTTTATATGCATTTAACTCCCGGGCCATGCTAAGCTCCCAGAAGGCATGGACCTTGTCTACTCTGTCAACCCCTAGGCTCCTAGAAAAGGAGACATTGAAATGTTTGAATAAGCCCGTAAGAATTCTCGTTCAGTCACAATACCTAAGGCGATACCTGGGAATGTGCTAAATAAAGATCGCTAGGCCCTGTTCCAGAGGTTCTGAATCAGATTCTCTGCGGCTGGGCCTAGGATCCTGTATTTTTAATAAGCTCTTCGGTTTCTTCTTCTGTAAAATGGGGATAACGGTAGTTCCTACCTCCCTAGGTAGGTGTGGAAGTGGATGAGTTACTTTATGTAGAGTGTTTAGGCTACTGCCTGGCACTCAGCATTACATCAGTGCCAGCGTTACTACTGTTGTTACTAGAATATGATCAGCCAATCATGAACAGGTGTTCTGGAAATAGT